GGGAGACTTGGTGCTCTTCCGTGGCATCACAAGTTGTCATGAAGAGCAGCCGCTGATGACCGAGAGCACATTTCTGCTCCATTCTTCAGTTTCCAGAGACAGACTCGTGACAAGCATTGTCAGGTGCCAGATCGCAGATGGGGATCTGACCTGATGAGCTGGTTATTCTAAAATGTCAGTTATAGGGAAACTCATTAAAAAAGATACAAATACATAAAGATGATTTAACCCAGAATATATAACTGACCATTAATCTGCTGGTCTTTTGGAGTTGAGCCAAAGGCTTTTTTTTTTTTTTTTAGTATTAAGAATCATCTGGTAACAGTGTCCATTGTCTTTGTAGCATAAACTACACCTATAACGAGCCTACAATTTCCAGTTGCATTTTATTTAAAAATAGAACTTAACAGATAGACGAGAAAGCTGAGAGCCATTGAGAAAGCTTACAGTTTCCTTATTTTTTGCCATTGTGTTGCCGGGGTCTGATAAACAGCAGAGCCTTCAGCGGCCTCGCACCCAGGATGTCCAAAGGGCCCAGCCCAGTGGAGTGGCTCTTTGTGCCCTTGGATGTCACCATGTCAGGCAGCATCCAGTTAGGTTAGGCAGTTACACTGACAAGTCCACCTGATCTAAATAAACTCTAGAACAAGCATAACCATTCTTGGTAAGCATGTAATTCAACTGCTGGAAACAAAAACGTCAGTTCATCAGAAAAACTGGTTAAAGGAAATCAGGTCAGGGAGGTCCTACTCTATTAGGAAAGTGGTCTAGATCTAACCTTCCTTCAGTCCCCAGGCAGTAATAACAACCGTTTGTCATGCACGGTGTTGCAAGGGGTCTCATTCATTCCTTTTATGCCTTCGCCCTTTAGGAGGCCAAGGCTCGGAAGGGTGGGGGGCTTGTGCATGGTGATGGAGCTGGACAGGTGGGAACTGTGAGCCCAGGTTGTCTGACTCTGAAGTCCCTGCTTAGGACTGGTAGCCAGAAGTCCTCCAGCTAGCTCTCTGTTTTCCTTATCCTGCATTAATGGATGTCTGGCTGTTTAAAAGTCAGCAGCAGACTGGTGGAGGGCAGGCCCCACGAGGCAACACGGAGACTTGCTTTCACACCGACCTGTGTGCCTGTGACTGGCTGGGCTGAGGGCCAGTCTTATCCCATGGCCTTGACTCTCTCCTTTCATGTGTGGCCTTAAAGAAAAAGAATGCATGTTACAGCTGCATGATTTATTCTAGATGTGAATGTTTTAAAGTTTGGCATCTGAGAAGAATCACAAGTTGTAGAAAGTACTAATTTCCAGGCACTTGAGGTCTGATTCACCATTGTTACTGGGATTCAAGGAAAACCCACACGTGGTTGGCTCCATTTTATGCTAACTCACTAAGATGTTTTATAAATAATGAGCCTAGATACTTAGAAAACAGCATCTGTTCAGCTGTTGAAGCTTTCAGAGGGTCATCGTGTTCAGAGGTCTCACAGTTATTGTAGCGATATGAGTTTACGTCAGCACTAAATCGATAAGGGAGTGACTGTGGAAAGTGAACGTGTGAGGCGCATGTTTATATTCATATGCCTTGGCATATAGAGGCGGCTTTGAAACAGAGGACGGCCATTAAGCAGCTTGCTGTTCTCTCAGGACATGCACTTGTGAGGTACAGAGCTCAAGTGCAGTGGCTTCAGTGGGTCACAGTGGTAATGAACTTTGAACTGACACAGCTATGATTAAGCTTGTTGCTAATAATATTTAGCACTAATCACTATTAAAATGATGCTGATCTTAGTGATAGTGAAACCATTAAGGGGGCATCTGGCCACCTGAACGAATAGCACGGATGTAGTGTTCAGGCTTTCAGCTAGCCCAACAGGACTTCGGTGGCCGTGATTTCACGGTGCTGCTTTATGTATGATCCCCCCTGTTTTCTGAGCCTGCAATACTATTTTTTGTCACAGGGTACAAATGTGGGGGCAGAGGGCGGCTGGTGTGCCCCTTGGGCTTTAGCATGGTGGCAACGTAAAGTGAAGCTGAGTACGGCGCTCTCTCAAATTGCCAGAACCCCACCCCCATGGGCTAGAGGTCCTCCGCCAGCCCCAACCCAGAGCTGTGCAGATACTCTGTGTAACATTCACAGCGCGACCACCATGGTGACAGCAGCCACTTTGAGCGCAAACCACGTGCCGGGCATTTCCCTCCATCAGCCCTGGCCCTGAGTTCCCCGAGGTGGGTGGTGGTGTCCCACTGAGAAGGCGGGGAAGCCACTGCTTGAGCTTTGAGCGCTTTCCCCTGGGCCGTGCGGCTGGTCGGGGCAGGCCTGGGATGTGAACGCGCTCCTCACCCGCACCCTGTCTTGTGCTTCTGTAAAACACCTAACTTTAATCTTTTGGGAGACAGCTTCACAGTCTGAATAACTCATCTCATTCCCTGAATGAAGACACAAAAACATGCTTTAAAGTCACAGCCCCGGGCTCTGTGTGGCCTGCCCACCGCAGGGGCCTTTGGTTCCCGCTGACCACCTTTTGCTTAGCGGAGAGGGGCCCCTTTTCTCCCTGTGTCTCTTTGACCTGCTCTGACAGCCCTGTTTGTGCCTGACTGCAGGCAGCCCCTGTGCCTGCCGGAAGACACACGTGACACACAGCTTCTGTGGCCCCCCCGTGGCCTTCAACCTCCAGTCCTGGATGAGGACCGTGGCCCAGGTGATCGGATGCACCCTAGCCCTCCTCGCCGGCCCCCCACTCCCCACCTACTTCTCTCTGACCTCAGGCTTAGGGCCCTCGGGGGTGTCCCTTTGCCCCCTGTCCTGGCCAGGTCAGGGAAGACGGGCCGGGCCTGCCCGGCACCTGCCCCCCTTCTGTCTGTGCCCAGCCCCCAGGCGGGCTGGTGCCGCCCCGCCCGGCCTTCACAGGGGTTGTGCTCTGCTGACGGCCCTCGGGGGGCTTTTGCATCTGGAGCTCTGATTTGAGCCTTTGGTCTCTGGTCGCCCCCCGATCCCTGCCTGCCTTCTGCCCTCGGGGGCCCCACTGCGGGCAGGCATGCTCCCCCTGCCCGTAGGAACTCCCGTGCCCCCCATTGTCCTCGCCTCCCTGCCCAGACGACCCCGGGGGCCCCTCTTGGTCTCCTAGGATGGCAGGGAGCTCCCTGCCAGCCCTGGCCTGAATCTGTCTCCTCAACCAGGGATTCAGTTCTTGCTCCAGAAACTGGCACAGAAATGCGTCTCTATCCTGGCGCTTCCTCAGTTGTTTTTTTCTGACTACTGGGTTTCCGTTTGGGTGCTTGGCTCTGCGCACAGTTACGGGCACTTCACGTGCCTTTTAGCTTAGGGTGTTTCATAGATGTGTGAGAGGTTGTGTGGGAGCAAGTGTGAGACTAAGGGAGTGGGTATCTATCCCTGGTGTCCACTGGTGGGTCTGATTTCTGGTTTTTAAAGCTTGTTTTTCAATATTTTCCTTACCATGGCCATCAGTAATAGATACATTTTACATAGAAACCCCCACACATACATGTATATGTCATCTAAAACATGAGTTTGATGAACATATACTTGCTTTTACTAAATTCTGATCTTTTCTATGCATTCTGATGTTCTCCATTCTACTTTAGTACTTTTTCAAAAGTACTAGATAGAAGCCTCAAAGTTAATTTCACATGTGTTTGATTTGGAAAGTCCTCCGTTACAGTACAAATCCTGTGAAGACAGGCAAACATTCCACTTCTTATAATTGCTGCTCAATTCATATTGTCAGCTGATTCTCCTCTCTATGCAAGTCCTCTGGAGAAATACTCTTCTGTGCTGAGAAACAATTTCATTCAAAGGATAAGGTGGCTTGTGTCACTGGTCTAATTTCCTTCTTTCACGTTAGCTGTTAGAAATCTGAGACACATGAATCAAGCTGTCTTCACAGCATATAGCTCAATGATGGTCCGTTCATGTTCCATTTTGTTTTCTTGGTTAATTTTTCTTTCTCACTTGACTCTTCTGTCCTAAACATTTAGAGATTTGGCTGATTTTAAAGTAAAAGATGTTCAACAAGAAAAGCCCAGACATATTGGCAATACCTAAAAGCAGAGACAGGAAGTCCCCTGTGATCCTGCCCCTAGAGGCAAAGCTCTTCCCTCTTGGGGGTCTGCCCTGCAGCCAGCCCTGTTCTTTGCAGACGCCAGGAGGTTCTTGCTCATACGGTTCCCATAGCGATGCATCCTGGACATCCCTCCCCGCCCTCACATGGATTTGCCGCCTTCTTGTTAACACCCATTCCCTTCAGCCCTACTTCAAACTTTTACATTTTTGCTGCCAAGAGTTTTTTGGAGCAACGCAGGTGTTAAGTAAAAATTTACTTTACAACGAGCAGTAGAGACTACAAACTAGCCCCAGCCACCTGACCAAATAGAATGCTCTGGTAACTGCTGCTGGAGCGACCAGTTTTCCTGGGCCTGGAATCACAGGAAACTGAGCTTGGGGGATGGTGGCAGAGACGGTCCTCCGGCCTCTGGGAGCTGGAAAGTGACAGGGGAGGGAGAGGTTTGACTGGCAGGACCAGATCAATGCAAATGACATCCCAGCTTGGGGTCGGTCTGTGGAGAATCAGTTCTGCCTAGTCTTTGACTTGTCTATTGATTTCCACTTCAGGGCCACTACGTGGAGCCTGGTTTTTAAGTCACCCGATGTCTTTTAAATTCACTTCATTTTATTTTCTCAAACTGAAACAATGGTGAATCATAGGCATGGAGTTATTAATCTTCTGAGTAAATGTATCACCTGCTTTATCTCAATTACAGATGCCACACTTTATGTATTTTTAAACTTTGATTCATATGTATTCAGAAAGAAATGATGTATGTTCAGATGGTCTCCGCGCATTCATAGGGAAAGAGGTGACCACGAATTAAAGTGGTTTCCACAGTGGAGAGGGGTGACTGGTGAGCTGGTGCTGCCGGTTCTCGGCTGCCCCAGGTGTCCACTCCTTCTCCTTGCTGGGCCCTGTTTCGCCCACTCACTGCTCTGTGATAGGTGCCAGGCGGACTTTGCTGGCCAGTGCAGGGAGGTGCAGGAGAGATTTGATGGGGCAACGTTCTTCCTCAAGTGGAGCCGGTGCCAGCCCAGGCAGGCCCACCTGGCGGAGGTGTCTGCACTGAGGGTGTGTGGACCTGTGGGGCTGGCTGGGAGTCCGGCCATTGTCCCACTGCTGGTCTGTACCAGGCCCTGGGCTGTCCCTGGGTGGCGGCCAGGGCGGTGCAGGGCGTGTGACATAGACACAATGGTGAAATGAGCTGGCATCCGTGCGAGCCTGCTGCCCATAGACCTGGGCTCATGTAATTTACATGTGTTGCCCCATTGACACTCAGCAACAAACCTGGGCAGTTTCTGCCCTTCTTACTGTCATTTTATGACAATGAAGCTGCTGTGAGGAGGGGTAAAGTCACTTACCCGAGTCCACAAAGCCAGGGAGGGGCAGAGTCAGAACCCTACCTGAGGCTCTCGGCATCCCCTGTAGGAGGTGGCTGCAAACGTTCTTACATGGGGCAGCCCCACCCACCAGGGACCCGCACTTACCCAGCTGGGACATCCTCAGCCCCGTCAGTCCAGGCTGCCAAGTGACCCCAGGTGGAGGTCATCCTGGTGTGACAGAGGCGAGACAGCCCAGGAGCCCAGGTGAGACTGGCAGGCAGGGGCTGGCCTGGAGGTGTGGTTCCCCGCCAGGCGGCTGCAGGCAGGTCTCTCCAAACCTGAGGGCACAGTTTCTGCTGCTGCCCCTGTTGCCTGTGGCCAGCCGTGACTCGGAGTCTGTGGCCCTCCTCTGTGACTGTAGCTAATTCCTTTCTGCCCGTCTTACTCTGGAGCTTGGGGAATCAGCAGAGATAAGAGGTTGAAGAGTGTTTCCTTATGCTCCAAGCGCCGTGTCTGGGTGACCCAGCTGTATGTTTGCAGGGACATGCGCAAGTGTCCAGGGGATGAGGTTTCATTTATAATTCCGATGTCAGGAAGTTTAACCATATGCAAACCTGAGAGGCTTTTCATTAGCTCTGTTAAAGGAAAAAGTGCTTTTGTGTCAAAATGAAAAGGCTTGGTTTTAAACTTAGTTCCTGCCATTTTGAAGTGTTTGCTTATTTCTTGCTTTCAGCCGAAAAGGTACATGTGTTGGAGTGTCTGGCGTGTGTCCAGAAAACTAACAAGCGCCAGAAGATGTCTTTTCCCAAATGATGGGCATTTGGCAGCTGTCCCAGGGCTCGGGCCCCACAGACTGCAGGGAGTCAGCAAGAGGCTTGATCAGCCCCACGTAGGGCACACGGTCCCACTGCCATGTACCTTGACCTGAGCTGTCAGAACCAGACATAAAGGCCCTACACGGTCTAGAGAGAACGTGCAGCTCTAACTGCAAGTGGGAGACGGAGAGTGGATTCTGGCCCGGGGCGTGAGAGCGGCTGGTGGGGCTCTGACAGGAGATGAGCTCTCAGCCGTGGGTGAGAAATGCAGCCTCGGGGCCATGGCTCTGATTTCCCTCTTGGTGGCTGATGCTTCCGCAGTGTTTGCTGAGGTGGTGCTGCCTGGCGCGGTAGGAGGACCCACTGGGGCAGGTGCCGTGGTGCTTGGCCCTCATGGTACTGACAGTCCTCAAATAACACAGGATGACACGTCAGCAGGTTCACCATCCCCATGGGGCCGGGAGCCCTGGACTCAGGTGGCACCTTGCTCTTCTCTGCTCTTTCATGGTCTCGTACATGGTAGTCAGCCGTGGCCATTCCGAGTTACTTTCATGATTAAATGACACACGTATGGCACAACTTGTGACTCTGGGGTGGCAAACAGTTCTGATGCACCGCCCACTCTGTGCAGTGGGTGATGGCTGCCCAGGCACCTGGTGAGGCTGCATCAGGGTGCTGGGGGTGGGGGCTGCTGGCTGCAGACAGGCGACTGGTGTCTGCTGCAAGGGTGCCTGGTGGGTGCTCGTTTGTCCACTCTGATAGGCTTGCAAAAATGAGGGCAGAACAGTGCTCAGACAAGATGAAACTCCCTTGTCTTCCCTGAAAGGATGGAGAAGGATCTAGGTAAACAGGGAGGTGCTTTCAGTCACAAAGGACAGTGATCAAAAACACCAGCAGTGCCAGGGAGGATGAGGTACTGGCAGGGCACTATGGGACCTGGTTGGGGCAGAGGGCACGTGGAGGAGGAAGGGGAATCGCATGGGGTGGGGCCTGGACCCATTGGGGTAGCATATAAAGTGTTGGTAGATAGACCACAGACTGACTGCAGAGGCCCTTGGGGGTACCAGATGGAGGGATTTAGATGTGATGCAGTCCTGTGCATCTCAAGCAGCCTCCCCAGAAGCTCCAGACGCTCGTGCCTCCATCCCCCAGTTCTCCAGCAGGGACTGTTTCCCAGTGCTCCATTTTAGCTTTGGTTGTTGTCTGCTGTGCCCTGAAATTTTTATATGTGCATCTGCCATCCCCCTTCAGGACACGGACAAGATATTAGCCATCTCTGCCTGTCCAGTGCTCAGGAATGTGCCTGGCGAGCGAGTGTTGCTGAAGTGAACTGAAACAGGCAGATGGGACGGAGAGGGGTAGGGCCTTGGCGTTGCAGCTGGGTGGGCAGGTGCCTGGCTGCCAGCTGTACAGTGACCCACGACCAAGGGAACTAGGAGCTCGTGTCCCGGGCCGGGTGGGAAGGGAAACTAGGCCAGTCTGAGGCAGCAAGTGCACAGGTGTGCGTAGGGCGCAGAAGATCAGTCAGAAGTGAGACCGCACCAGGGGGTGGATGAGACTGACGGAGCGAGTCTGCAAAGCTGAGCCTTGTTGGATTCCCAGAGGCGAAGACTTGCAGGGCTGCTAAGCCTGTAGGTCAGAGGGAATCATTAAAGGAGTTAAATCTCTTGAGAAATGAGGAGCTACCAAGGATTCTGAGTTGCTTCGACTTGTAGAAAAGCAGAGTGATCCTGTAGGCCCAGTGTGTCGAGCGACGACTCTTGAGTGTGCAATTGACCCAAAACCCAACCCAACTCAATTTATTGGCTTTTGTGACCAGGAAGTCCAAGGCAGAGCAGAGAACTTCGGCTCCAGGTTCTGCTTCATGTTGGGGCTCATGCGAAGGCGTCAGAACCGGGTGCCTGCCTCTGCCTGGGTTTCTCTTTGTTTCTCTCTCTCCCCATTTTTCCCCGGCTCTTCATCTCCATGTCCCCGGTAACTCTAGGCTTACAGCCTCTCGGCGCTCAGTCCAGCTGATGGCAGACCTTCCTGCCTAGTTGCCAAAGTGAAAGCTGTAATTGGACCTGGTTAGCATGCGCTGGGTCACGTGTCTGTCCCTGAACCAGTCACCTGGGCCATGCCGGCCTTTGTAGACCCTGACCTGAGAGGAGGGAAGGAGCAGTTCTCCAAGGAAGGTCAGATGCTGTTACCTGGGGGCTTTGCCGGGTGGCGTGAACCCTAGTTGGCTGCCCCACCCAAGCTGCCTGCTTTACCCTCGGCAGCCAAGCCTCAGTGACCTCTGCTTTGCTGGTGAGCGAGGCGGCCAGGGCCAGGGAGGGCCACCCCTACCCAGGTGTGACCCCGCTGTCCTCCCACACGCCAGATGCTCTGAGGCTGCCTCCGCGGGGCAGTCAGCCGCGCCGCTGCTGGCCTCCTCCGTTTGTCATCTGTGAGCACATTGTGGACGGCACCCTGGGCAGGCCCCCTCCCTGCCAGCTGGCCACGAGGTCACTGGGCTGTCCGGATCTCAGGGGAAACCTTCAGAGAGTGTGCAGATCGGGACCCCACTGCCCAGGGCTGGATGAGCCGTCCCACTGCACTCAGTCAGGGGAGCCTTTGACCGTGAAGTGCTGGGCAGTTTGCAGAGAGCTCATCTGCTCCTTGGACCGTGACCATAACCAGAGTGGGCAGGCAGGGGGATGACCCTTGCTCTGTAGATGAGGAAACAGGGAAAGCTGCGGGTAGATGGCCCCATCAGGGTGACATAGCTGTAGAGGCCGCACTTGGTCTCAGGAGTCACAAATGTCATCTAAAATGTGCACTTTTAAATCAAATGTGGAGAAAACTGAAGGCAAACTAACTATTCTGGCCCGTTTCATATGCAAGTGTGGTAATGAACTACCCACTGGAGGCCCACTGAGGACATACTTCATTAATACCTGCGGAGGACACAATTACCTCTGTTTGCTCTCTGCAGCTTGGATCCGAGGCCAGTCAGCTGGTTACTCCACGTGGTTCACCCGCTGGAGTCTCACCAGAGTTTGAACCACTTACTGAAACTGTGAGCCGCTGCCCTGAGCCTCCGTCCCCACCTGCCCCTCTCTCCCCGCCTGTGCCTCCCTCCTGGTGCCCCTGCTGCTCTGAGCCCCTCGTCACCCTTGACCCTCGTGCCTTCGCTGCCCTCCGGCTGACGCCCCTGGCAGCCTGCCGAGTACGTGGGGCTGTGGGTACAGAGCAGGATAGATTTTCCCTGATACTTAGTCGCTGGCATCTTCCAGAACAGGGCACAGCCAGGAGACCCTGAGTCACATGGACTGGATGTCTGTGTACACCCCCAGATTCATGTGTTCAGTTGTGCTCCCCAGTGTGAAGTGCTGGGAGCTGATCAGGCATGAGGGTGGAGCCCTCAGGAACAGGGTGAGGGCCCCTGTAGGAAGAGGAAAAGACTCTCCCTCTAAATAAAGGAGAGCCCAGATGCCGACATAAAGAGAAGTCAGCTGTGTGCAGGCTGGGCGAGGCTTCGCCAGGTGCCGAGTCAGCCCGCCCGCCCCTGGATCCGGGACTTCCAGCCTCCGAGCTGTGAGGAGTAAGTCTCTGTCGTTCAAGTTCCCTGGTCTACGGTGTTTTGTTTTGCAGACTACAATAATTATGGAACTTCTTAGCATGAAGGGACATTGAATAATGTTTGGTCACAACCTCTCATTTTGCCCATTTATTTATTCATTTATAAATATCAAGTGCCTATTTTGGTGACAGGCCTTAGGAATACAGTGATGCATGAAATAGAAATGGTCTCTGATCTTACAGAAATGGTCATTTGCTGGGGGAGACAAACATCAAGGAGATAATTTTCAAAAATGTAAGATTTCCAGTGAATAGGGCTATGAAGTGATGAGCTTTATGGCATGCAGCAGCGGGCCCTGATTGTGTCTGGGGTCGGCAGCAGATTCCTGAGGAAGGTCCTGTGAGCTGTGCCTTGAAGGACAAGTAGAACTTGGCCTCATGAGAAGGCGGGATGGGGAACCTTTCTAAGAAAGAGGGAACAGTGTGTGAGCTGCATCAGAGGTGGAGCTGGGGCCACTGTAAACAGGTCGGAGGGCTGCAGCCCTGTGTCCTTGCTGCCCAGCCAGCCTGGGCTTGTTTAGCCCTGTCTCAGGGCCATGTACCCACTCTGCAGAGGGGTACCTGCACCTGGGGATGGAGGGGTGCAGCAGCATGGACAGGAGGGAGGAGGGAATGCACCTGCTCATCAGGGGTCGGGGCTGCAGGGCCGCCCATCCCTTGGAGTCAAAAGTTGGAAGGGGAAGCCAGAGAGGGGCGGGAGGTGCGGACTTTACCCAGGGGCTCAGGCGGACTGAGAGGGAGGGCCAGCTGAGGTGCGGAGGCGCACGGTTATCTCGGCAGTTTGACTACTTCTTGCAGGCTTTTTCTGGCAAAGGTTAATGGTAACTTAGAAAGATACACACCCTGGTTGTTTTTATTCGTGATATATATGCTAGGACAATAAAGCCTCAATTTTTTAATAGCCGCCTTTTAGTCCAGCTCTGTTGCTTTAATCCCTGTCTTTTTTTCTTCCCTACTTGCTGTTGGCACCTGTGAGTGACTTATGTATGCCCAATATGGTGCTACATGTTGGGTTACAAAGGGAGTAAGCAATGATCCTTGCCAGTAGGGAGTCTGGGACTGCAGGGCCCAGAAGGGGTGTGGGTGAGAGGGGCAGCTATGCCCAGGGTAGAAGCCGGGTGGGTCATGAAGCCTTTGTTTATCATCTGACAGCAGTTGGGGAGCTCTGTGAAGGTAGGCCTCAGGCTTCCAGATGCTTGGGGTGGGGGTGGGAGGGAAGGAGGGAGGGAGAGATGGGTGAATGTTCTTAGCACAGCACCAGGAAAGGAACCCCTGAGAAGAGAAAAGGAGAGAACCAGGCACAATGCAGAATCCTGGCATCTGCCGCCTGCTGCTATTGGCTGTTTCGTTTTCTCAAGTTTTTGCGTGTGGCCACCTGGTTTAGAGACTTTCCTGTGTGTTGAGCCTTCATTTGTCTGGTGGCTTGGGGTTTCATGGGAGACTTCCTTCCATATGTAGGTTTTTAAAAAGGATATTTGACTGGGCCTGCCCACCTGGCATCCCCTGCCAGCGAGGATAACCCCTTGTTGGGGTTTGGTGTGGGGGGGGTGCCACGGCACATGGTGACGGCAACCACCCGGGGGCTGGGACGTGCGCATGTGATCTTTCTGTTGAGCCCGGCACAGGGCTGTTATGATGCAGCCCCTGCCCCAGGGACCCCTCTTTTCATGTCCGTTTCTGGAGGGTTCTTGCTCGCCTCCCCATCAGCCATCTCACTCCTGCATCCCCGCTGTGGTTGCTCCCTCCGAGCTCCCTTCCATCTGGCTGCAGGCTCCGGATCTTCTTTGTGTGACGTCTGCTCAGGCTGTCTGGGCTGGGGCCACGCTCCCACTCGGCCCCGTCAGGAGCCTGACTCTCTTGGTAGCTTCCTTTTCAGATTTCTAACTCAGCATCCTTTTCTCACATGTACAGTTTGCGAAGTAAATAATTACCCCCTTCCCGTGACTGCTGTTTTGCAAAAAAAAAAAATGTTATACTACGTTTGCCTCATGTGGAGGTATATTTGTTGTATAGGAGTCCTTTCTGATATCAGGGTTGGGGGGCCAGGATGGCACCGGCTTCTAGGCACAACTGGTCTGTCCTGCGCTCCAGGCTGACCATCCAATTGGTGTGACGGCAGAGCCTCCGCAAGGAGGAATCACACGAAAGCAACGTGATCTTTCTTACAACCGAGCCTATCAAGTGATGCACTAAGGATTTCGGAAAGAGAAACAGAATTCTCTACGAAAGAGAAAGGGGAGGACGAGATGGACTGACAGAATCCTGAGCAGTTCACTTACACGAATGGCCCTTGTATTCGTGCGGCAAAATTACTTATAAACAAAAGCCAAAGCAGGACTACAGGCTGTGATGGGCAGGTGCACCCTCTGTTCCCGGCCTTGTTTTTCTGCTCTAAACTACAGCGCTGGGTTGACGTAGGGATGTAACTGCTGTGAATATTGATGGCAGCAAAAGCCTTTTTGTTCTGTCTGGCCTAGTAAATAAAGCAAAAAGGATAAAAAGGGAGAGGGATAGTGAAAGCGGCATGCTGCTTTTAGTTGATCTCGTTCCCTTTAGCACTCTAAGTCCCAAACAGGTTGCCATCTGCATTTGCCCATGATGGTCTAACTTGAGGGGATTGATGTTTTCAGGGATTTTTGCTTCTGGTTGAAGTAACAAATTGCTTTTCCTTTTAGCTATCAAGTTAGTGTCACTGCCTCCTTGAAGCCTGCCTGGATCTCTCCCTGCTAGCCAGTAGTGAAGCTGGTCCCCAGTCCTCAGCATAGCAGTGATGGTGGTGTGCGTGCATGCACCCCTACCTCTCATGGGAGCATCCCATTCGGGCACAGTGCAGGGAGTGGGAAGACCGGGTCTGGCCCGCTGAGGCTCCCAGGGAACCCGGAGAGTAAACGCAGGGGCTCTTGGAGGGCTGCGGGGAGTGTGAAGGGGACAATTCACAGCTGCTCACCACAGCCTGGAGGGAGCAGGGTCATGGTCAAGGAAGGTCTTTGCAGCCGGTGAAGGGGGTGGGGTGCAGGCAGAGCTGCATGGGAACGGACCTGCTGAGAGGTCTGGGAAGCATGGGTCTGCAGGTCGGGGTGAGCTAGGCTTTTTTCACTAAAAGACACACTGACTGTGGCTAACTCACGCTGGGAAAGAAGTTCATCATAGTCCACTGTGATGGTGTTGGATGGTCCAGGGAGGCCCCGGAGGGCTGGTTAGGAGTGGCAGGGACCTGGGAGGAAGGAGCTGCTGAGCTGGCTTTCTGGGGTGACTGGCGGGAAGTTGGGAATGGGGGTGAAGTCTGGGTGTTTAGATGGTTCCCCAGGGGGTGAAGAGGAAGGGTGTGGTGGCAAGATACCAGGACATTTAGGCTGGGACTCGCTGGCTGGGACAAAGGGGTAGCGCTCTGGGCAGGGTGGCGGGGGCAAGATGGTCCCATGTGGCTGAGCCGCGTCCTGGAGGGGAGTGGTGGACCCAGCCTTCTGCCTTATTCGAGGGCTCACGGTGCAGCTAGCTTCTGGGCAGTCCCCTCTCTCAGGGTGTTCTCTGTGCGCATGTGGGGAACCCTCCCCACCACCTTCCAAGGATGGGGACCGCAGTGGAGACGACTCCTCTCGTTCCGGCTCCGGGAAGAGCATGTCCTGCAGAAGAGGTGCTCGTGGTGTCTCCTGAGCCACAGCTGCCCTCTTGCGCTAGCCGTCTTAGTCAGCGAGCTCCATGACTTCCATTTTCCTAAGGTTTGCGTAGCTTTCCTCGGGTCCCGCAGAACAGAATTAATGTGAGTAGAGGACTCGATGACCCAGATGGGAGAGTTTTAATTACTGGTGATCTTTCATTTAGTTATTAAGCAGCTTCTTACCAGGGACTGCATTTGCAAAATTAATCACACACGTCCCAGTGGGCCCGTAATTCTCTTAAAACCAAAGTTGCCTCAAATAAACTTTTATAAAAACAGGAAAGTGTTGGCCTTTCAGGCCTGCCGATGGGTGTGTTTTCTATCCTCATGAAGTCACGAGAACTGGAACTGGAAAGGCGCTAGGAGTCATCAAGCCTGAGGACGTGGCTTGGAACATGGTCTGTGACGCTTGGATGGGAATGGCAGCTGGGACCGTCGCCCGGCTCCTCTGCGACCATGTACGGCGGCCGCTCAGCATGGCCTCTGGGAGAGGCCTCACATTCATAAGCACGGCAATGGGTTAGCCATCCTGAGGCCACAGTTCCCCCCTCTTCCTGTGTGGATGAAGAAATGGTCCACAGGAGAGGAGGAACGTGCCTGAGGTCACCTTGCTGCTCAGTGACAAAGCTGACCCCGACTTAGAAGTCAGATGAAAACCCGAAAGGAAGAGAGGGTCAGAGCAGACACATTATCTTTCCTTCCGAAGAACATTCCGTGCAAAGCTGCCGGTGGAGTCTGTTGCACTCAGTGCTTTCCTGGGCCTGATTTAGCAACCTCAGGAGGAAAACACGCTGTGTTTTGCAAATGTGTGCAAATAACAAACATGCCCGCTCTGTCCTAGGCAGACTCATTGCACATGCATCAGGGCAGGTGGCAAAATGCAATCATGCAGCTTGGAATGAAAAGTGTTTTATACTTAGTTGCTTCTAAGAAATTCAGCGGTAGAATTAAAATGCCTTCCTGGGACAGGTGCAGTGTTAATTGTCCATTTCTCGTCATAAAACTTTGCTTGGAGAAAATGCTTATATGAGATACTGATTCCAATTCCTCTTTCTTTTTCTTTTCTTCTTCTTCCCCCCTTGTCCCCAACCCCCTGTCTTTGTGTTTCTTTGTTTCTCTTCACAGGAAAAAGTAGAATATGCCTTCCTGATTATTTTTACAGTCGAGACCTTTTTGAAGATTATAGCGTATGGATTGTTGCTACATCCTAACGCTTATGTTAGGAATGGATGGAATTTACTGGATTTTGTTATAGTCATAGTAGGGTAAGTGCTTTTCATTTTGGGAAGTGTTGGTTTTGGAAAAAGAGAGGTGGGGTGTAAGAGAAAACGCTGTCTCTGAGGGAATACGGTTGTTCCTTTGTGCCAGCCATCACAGCCAGACCTGTCAGGAGTTCTGGAAGACTCGCGGTGCTTATCCAACTGAGCAGAGACTGGTTTTCATTTCCTCCTTCAGGAGCATGTTCTAGAAGGCAGTTTAAGCTCTCCATAGGAGAGGTCACTCTGCAAGGCCTTAGGTCTTCACAAGCAGGCCAGCCCTGCTGTGATTAGGCAAATGAGCAGAACTCTTGCATATTTAGCACTGTTAAGTTAAAAAAAAACAAAGCAAAACAGTAAAAAAAAAGTAATAAATCCTTCATCTCAGTGAGGCACTCTGCTATTTAAAACCCTCTGAGCACAGCTATTAATTTTTTTCTGCTGACTTGCAGGGAAAACTTTGGCATGCTGCTATCCCATTTTAAATAACGAAACAAGTGTCTGAATCATGTCACATATCTGGCACGAAATGAAATAAGCCAGAAAACACAGAGAAGCAGCCATTCTCCTGAAATCCTGTCGGAGGAAGACACCACAGTATCTGTTAAAAGAATGTTAACATACAAAACAGTGGCCTGTGTTTTTCTGGTCCCTCCACACCTGGAAATGTTGCCAGCAAGAGAAAAATGAATCAGTGTCAGAGGACTGTGGAGTGTTTGGACCAAATACCCATATAGGAAAATAAGACCGATCTCTCTGCTGGGTCTTACTTACCCACCTGTAAAATGGGTCACTCCTAGAATGCTATTTGTTCCTATAGAGAGTATGTTAAGTGGCCTCTCAGTTTTCATCTCTGTGACTCTATTCAACTGCCTTTTGCAGTTGAGCAAGGTAAAAATATTCCTCTGGATTATTCTTTCACCACAAATCCTTTGGCTTTTCATGGAAGACTGAAATAGCTAGCTATTAGGAGAGTGGGATAAATTTTGACCCTGTCCTTTCAAACCTAGGAGGTTAATATGGGATAAAAAAAAAAAATGGTGGCCCCATGTGATAATTCGACTCATGGGAGGAAAAGTTAGCTTTTGCAAAGACCACAATGGTACATTGGCCTCTAAGGCATTGCTGCAAAGTTATTACAGCTGAAATGAACTGGTAAAAGATGTGTACCTGCCTTCCTGTATTTGGTGAGCTCTACGGAGGACCAGCATGCCGGCACTTTGCAAGCGTCTCGGTTCTGGAATAATCTTGCTGGGCCTTTCCTGACCCTGCATTTTCTGATCAGCTAGAGGCTGGAGACATTTACCTCTCTTTCTTTTGTCCCTCCCCTATAATCACCTCAGCTTCCTGCCTAGAGACATTTTTCAGGCAATATTAAAGCACAGAGAAAGGGGCCAAGCAGAGTGTGGTGTTCTCACTGAGTTGAGGAGACGAGTTAAGAGTTCAGAGAGACTGAGGTGGCTGAAATTTGAAGCATAATATGAGAAGGGAGGGAGCTATTTAGAGAAAGAGTTCCATAAAAATGCCTTGGGGTTCTCTTGAGTTTTGGCCGAAGACTAAGTTACAGGACAGGGACTGAGAGTCCGTGAGGCCTGGCAAAGAATATTATGAGGGCGGAAAGGAAAGCTGGAAGGGCGTAAGCTGAATAATAACGAGAGCTCAGAGAGGGCTGGGAGATGTCCAAGTCACGACCAACCCGAGTGGAAAGACCGCACCGAACACCCTGGACTGCTAATGAGACCACAGAAGGGCCAGTGGTAGCAGGGTTACACTGGTTCCAGGGCAGGGATTGGCAAACTACGGTCCATGAACCAAATCCAGCTTGCCAACGATTTTTGTAAATAAAGTTTTATTGTAACACGATCACATGCATTTGTTTGCATAGTTGAGTTGAGTAGTTTAGGTTCACAGAGCCTAAAATATTTACTGCCTGGAACTGTACAAAACGATTTTGCCAGTCCCTGCACTGAAGACTAGCTGAAGCTGATAATGTTTGAAAAGAAGTCTGGAAAGGAACAATCTGGTATTCAAATAACTTATTTGCCTGCCAGAATAAAACCCAACACTCTTTAAAGTAAGTCAACAAAATCCAGACACTTAACGAGGTGTCCAGCATCCAGTCAAATATTACTAGACATATGAAGAAATGTGGCCCATAACAAGGAGGAAATTCCATCAACATAAACAGACCTAGAAATGACAGAAAGGATGAAATTTAGTAGAGAATTACTTTACAAGACTGTAGAAACAGCTGTTGTAAATATGTTTCTGGACTTAAAGGAGTACATGCCTACAATGAGAAAAAATGGGACAGTATAAAAAGAGAACCAAATGGTGCTTTGAGAGCTGAAAAATATATCTGAAATGAAAAATTCCTGGGATTGATTCAACAGTCAATTAGACACAATAGAAGAAAAAAATCAAGGAAATTGAAGATATAGCCATAACAAAGAAAAATGATGGAGAAAAAAAATGAACACTACCTTGGTGACCTAGAGCGATATCAAGTAGTCTGACATACATATATTGGAATCTCAGAAGAGAAGAGATAGAAGGGAGATGAAATTCAAGAAATTATTCCAAATTTTCTGAATGTGATGAAAAATATAAAAACCACAAATGCAAGAAACCCAAAACCCAAGCAAAATAAGCATGGAGAAAGCTACATTGGGGCACATTATAATCATAATCAAATTGCTCAAAACCAAAGATAAAGAGAAAATACTAAAATTGTCAGAGGAAAAGATATTGTACACTTCAGCAATTTTGCAAGCCAGAAGACAGAGAAAAGCAACAACCTAAAATTTTTATTCAGTGAAGATATCTTTCAAAATTGAAGTACAAAAACTTTTTCAGGAAAAGCAAAGCTGAGAATTCACCACCAGTAAACCTGCACCTTAACAAATGTTAAAGGAATTTCCTTCACACTGAAGGAAAACACCAGATAAAAATATGGATTTCCACAAAAAAAATGAAGAATGCCAAAAATCATTACTGCATGGGTGAATATAAAAACACTTCTTTTCTCATTTTAAATCTCTTTAAAATTAACTGGTTATTTAAAGCAAAAATAATAAACAATGTATTGTGGGGTTTATAGCTTCTATAAAAGTATATATATAGGGCAACAGTGACACACAGAAATAAGGAAATAGCTGTGTACTATTTAATGGTTGCTTGTATAGTTGATGGAGTGATAAAATATGATTTGAAGGTAGGTGGTGATAAGTTAAAGGTGTGTATTGTAAACCCTAGAGCACAGGTTGGCGAGCTTCAGCCCATAGACCAGATATGGTTTACTGCCTTTCCCCACCACACTGACAAAGTATTTTGCTGTCTGCTTTGACAGATTAAGCTTTACTGGAAAACAGTCACACTTACTCATGTTTATGGTTATTTGGTGTTAGGATGGTAAAGTTGAATAATTGTGATAGACGCCCTATCTATGGCTTGCAAATCCTAAAATAGTTACTCTGCAGGAAATGTTTACTGAGACTTGCCCTAGAAAAGCCATTAGAAAAATAAAAAGGCATGATTAATAAGCCTATATTAAGTGGAATTTTTTAAGAAGCTCAAGTAAATCAAAAAAAGGCAGGAAAGAAGTAAAATGGAACAATGAACAGGGCAAATAGAAAACAAATTAACAAGATGGTAGATTTAAGCCCAGCTAGACCTTTATTAAAATCAAAAGTCTATCAGATTTTACATGTATAAACAACAAGACCAAAATCTATAGTGTCTACAAGAAATCTGAGTCATGAAGATATAAATAATTTGAAAGTAAAAGGAGAGAAAAATATATACCATACAAAACCCAAAAGAAAGGTGGAATGGCTATATTATCCAACAAAGTAGACTTCGGAACAAGGAATATTATCAAGGATAAAGAGGCATTTCACAATGATAAAAGTGATTTTGTGAAGAGGATGTGCCAATCCTAAATATGTATATGCCTAATAACAAAGCCTCAAAATACGTGAAGCAAAAACTGGTGATCCCTGAAAATAGAAATAGACAGATCTTCAATACCAGTTGTATACTTTAATACTCTTTCCTCAGGGAGTGTTGGTGGAACATCTAGGCAGAAAACCATGAAGGATATAGAGGTATTTGAACAGTACCTTCAACCAACTTGACTTAGTTGGCGTTTTTAGAACCTTCCATCCAACAAGAGCGGAACACACATTCTTTTCACATGAACACAGAACATTCACCAAGAAAGACATATTCTGAGCCATAAAACAAGTCTCAGTGAATTTAAGAGTAAAATCATACAGTTATGTGTTCTGAATGAATTTAGCCATGTTTCTGGATAAAATGTCAGTATAAAACATGAATTTCTATATGCTAGTCATGAATGATGGAAAATAAACTTTTTAAGACACTACTATTTACTATAGCATGAAACCCCACGAACTATTTAGGGATAAAGAGGGTACTGAAAATGACTAAACCCTGCTGAGAGAAACTAAAGACCCAAATAAATGGAAGGAATGTACCATGTTCATGGATTAGAAGACTCAATATTGTTAGGATATCATTTCTTCCCAAATTGAGCTATAGATTGAATCTGAATCTAAATCCCAAGTTTGTTGTAGAGACTGACAAATTTATCCTAAAATGTATATGGAAATTGGAGTGGTTTTAGACTCACCAAAGAAACTTTTAAACGAAGCTCCAGTGGTCAAGATGGTGTGATATTTGCGTGAGGAATAGATATAAAGGTCAATGGAACAGAAAAGGGAGTCCAGCAATAGACCCATATGTATGTGATTAACTGATTTTAGGCAAAGGTGCCTTGATAATTCAGTGGGTTGAGGAAACAGTTTTCAACAAAACTGGAACAAATATTTATCTGTATGAAAAAAGGAACCTCTACTCTTACCTTCCATCATACACAAATATTACCTTAAAATAGAACATATACCTGTAAATAAAAGCTAAAAGTATAAAATTTCTAGAAGATCTTTATGACCTTGGAGTAGGCAGAAATTTCTTGACCCAAAAAGCCTGAGCCATAAAACAAATCATTGAAATTTTACCAAAATGTAAAACTTTTATTCAAAAGGCAGTGTAAAGAAAGTGAAAAGGTAAGGCACAAAATGGGAAAAAGTATTCATGATACAAATACATGATGGAAGGACTTATATTCAGAATATATAAAGAACTCTTACAACTCTATAATAAGAAGACAACCCAAAACATAAATAGGCAAAATATTTGAGCGTATCTTCATAAAGAAGATATGTAAATTGTCAACAAGATCTGAAAAGATAATTCAACATCATTAGTAATGAGAGAAGTGCACATTAAAACCACAGTGACATAGTACTACATACCCACTAGTATTACCAAATGTAAAAAGACTGACAATACCAAATGTTAACCAAGATATGGAGCAACTGGAGTTCTTACACGTTGCTTGTGGAAGTGGAAAATGGTAAAATCGCTAGAAAAGTTTGCCAGTTTCTTCCAATGGTAATCTTACACTAATGATATGGCCACATTACTGGTACCTCTCGTAGGCTCTTATCCAAGAGAAATGAAAGTACGTTTTCACAGAGAGGCTTTATTCATAACAGAAAAAAAACTGGAAACAACCCAAATATCTGTCAACAGATGAATGGATAAGCTCATTGTGGCATATTCATATACGGGAGTATTATTCAACACTGAAAAGAACTGCTGACAAATGTAACAAGTTGGATGCATCTCAAAAACATAGCAGAAGAAGATCAACAAAAAGGAGAACATGCTGTATGATTCCATTTGTATAAGAATCTAGAAAAGGGAAAAAATAACCTGAGGTGATACACAGCGAATCATTAGAACCTAAAGCTGAGAGGTGAGGGAAATTGTCTGCCAAGGAGCATGAACTGCTGGAGTTGGCAGATGCTCTATATCTTGATTGTGGTGCTTGTCACGTGGGCTTCCGCCTTTGTCAAAGCTCGTCTCGCTGTACAGTTTAGACGGGTGTTTTCTATTGTATGTGAATTAGGCTGCAATAAAGTCGACTTCAAAAGTAAAATTATCTTGGAAACCGAAGTAGAAATGGACTCATTGCTCTTCTCAGTAAGTATGAAAAAGTTAGCATCAGATCATTCTTTAAAACAGGCACTAAATTGTAGTCAAAGAAAGAGTGGAAGAAAAGCTAAAATAAGAAAAAGAAAAATGATGTCTTCTTTGGATTCAAATTCTTACCACTGCAGTTTCCAAATGCAGGCTGTATCTCAATCCAGTGGATTTTCTACTCCAAGTCAATGGCGACCTATTGCTTTTGTCAAGTTTCCCGTTAACAGAGACATCAGGAAAGTAACTGATATTTCCACAATGTTAACTGTACTGTGACCACAAAGGCGCTCAGTGTGTCTCCTGGAGCTGATGGCATTGCCTGTACAGAAAGGTTTGGTCGGAGCTGCCTTTTAGCCCACGCCTCTGATTTTTCAGTGAATGTATATCTCAAGCATTCGGACTTATCACTTCAGCTTTTGTGAAGGACGTGGGATGTTCTTCAGACCCGACTTGTGTGAGTTCCAGTGGCTCCTTGCATTTTTTTATCCAGTCTTGGAATGAACTTTTAATAATCTCAGATCAAATGTTTTCTTCTCATGTCCTAACTCTTCAGGTACACAGTACTTTAGGGAAGGGGATGGTGGTGAAGGGAGTGGAATGACAGAATATCAGAATGGGAAGGCCAGGGCTCTGGATCATTTCATTCAGACAGGGGAAACCGAGGCCTGGAGAGGGAGAGGTACTGTGCGAATGCATCCTGACTCTTAGAAACAGAAGCAGCCCCAGACCCTCAGAGCCCTGGCTGTCTGGAAGCTTGCTGACTCAGGTGCTCTGTAATGGGACAGGGACACTGTTGTTATCAAGGGCAGTGTGGAAGGATGGGGCGATAAAGGCTCATGAGGTACACATAGTGACACACTGATGCCTGAAAGCAGTCTTAAGCCACCATCTGCATAAATTACTTGCCTAGCCCTTCAGGATGAAAATTCCTGTGGCTGCCACATTTCAGAAGGGGTTGAGATTTCCTTTCTTCCTTTTTCTTTGTTTTTGTGAAGCTATGAGCTTTGTTTTAGAGGGGAGACTTTAAACTTTAGCCTCGCTGCAGGGGTTTACCGTAATTGAAAAAATATGCAAGTAAGAGAAACCTATCATAAATGTGATGTATTTCCCCAGTCCAAACTAGAGAAAAACGCTATCTGAAGCTTTAAAATGATAGAAAACCGACTTATTTCCTCCTCCCTGCCTGGGTCATTGCTAATTGCAGTTCTGTTGTTATAACGAATGGCCAGGCTTTAAATGCCCCAGAATGGCATGGCTGTGCCTGATCAGGGCTATAATCAGACCACCCTGTCTTTTATGGACTTAGTATCTCGGATTTTCAGAGGCATGCCAGTGGGGGCACAGTTTCTGGTTTGGCTGCTAATTAAACTTTAGAAACCTTTTCTTTGTTGCTGGGCCAATCATCCCCACCATCTGACTGGCCAGAGTTGATTCTGCTTGAAAATGGGCAAATTTATACTTACTCTGAAAAACAAGCAGTAATTCCAAAGAGTAAATGTTTATTTGAAAGGGCAAAAGTAACTGTCAAATGAGCAGATCGCCTGGAAATAGCTTTATCTGAAAAACCTTGGGAGAGTAGGAAAAAATTGGTCGTGGCTGCCAGATACAATATTATTCACATTTCAAAAGAGAAAATGACGGTATTAATCCCTTACCTTGAGTTACTGCTTTTGGCCTTTGCATACATCCTTCCCGTGGGTGGTTCACACCATTCCCTGAACATGCCTGGGAGGGTGGGAGTGTGGGGGTGGGTGTCAGTGACTGTATTGAAAGTGGTCTAACATACTGATTAAGGTCTTGGACTCTGAAGGCAATATTCATCCATCGATTTCTTCATGGAGTATTTTCTGAGCACCTCCGGTGGGTCAGGAAGTGTTCTAGGCCCCAGGCTAGAACAGACAAAATGAACACATGAACAAAACAGGCTAAGATTCCCTCCCTTTAGGGGCCCTCCATTCCAGTGGGGCCAGCATTCCTGAATTCCCTTTGACCTTGGGCAATTCACCTGTTTTCTCACATATAAAATGGTGTTAGTAGTAATTCCCACTGCGTAACATTTTGTGAGGATTAATGCATGCAAAATGCTTAGCACAGACTGAGCACTCACAAATGGCAGCCCCAGTGGTTCTGGTTTATTTCTGTTTGGGTAGTTCTGCTTGGGCGGGATCCCGGCATCCTGGCGAGTCCCTTCCTCCGTAGGGGCTGAGGATGCCCCGCGTCAGTGGGGAAACAGGAGAGGAGTCCCTGTCCTCAGTCACGGTGACGGACGGGTCCCGCCTTGCTTTCGAAACCTTTATATGAGCAGCAGCCGTACCGAATTAGTCCTTGTTCAGAAATAAGCCCTATCAGCATCCTGTTTTCCTTCCCTAGGTGACTGACTCTAACATTTCATCCTTTCTTCCTCTCCTCTCAGATTGTTCAGTGTGATTTTGGAACAATTAACCAAAGAAACAGAAGGTGGTAACCACTCCGGCGGCAAATCAGGGGGCTTCGATGTCAAAGCCCTCCGCGCCTTTCGAGTGCTACGGCCACTTCGCCTCGTGTCAGGAGTGCCCAGTAAGCACGTTTTGCTTCCTAAAGCCAGGAGTTTGTTGATTTTTTTTCCTCCGGGGTGGGCCTCCGGATAACGGACCAAGCACTGCGAGGTGAGTTTCCGCACGGCAGCCGTGGGCTCCGTGGACGAGCACAGAGGCCCCCGTGGTTGACAGGACACTTTGGATTGTCCCTTTGGGTCCCTGAGAGATGACAAGCTGAAGAGGGGGCCGCCATGATGCTCTCTCCCTGGTTTTGCAGACTCTGCTGTAGAGAGGCAGGGTGAGTGGGGGCCCGTGGCCTCGAGGCCAGGCCTCCTGGTAACAGTGTGGTGTCCCCGTGTGCCGCCGTGCTGCCGTCACCTCCCCCGGCCCAGGCCTGCTCCTCCAAACGTGGTGGTTTATGTAGCTGAGGGTGCTGGGGGCCCTCCTGACTGCAGTTTTTCTAAGCGAGGAGCAGCAGGGGGCTGGGCTCCTGGGAGCTCTGCTCAGCTCTCCCCACGTGGGAATCACGCCGGTCTAGCTGCAGGAGAAGAGGCGGGTGCTCTGTCCTCCCTGTACCAGGCACCGTGATGCCTGCTCAGAGGTTGTTGGGAGGACTGAGGAGAGAGATCAGACAGAGCCCCTGGCTCAAGGTCTAGAGCACGGAGGAGACCCTCTATGGTAAGAGACGCCGTGACCCACTGGCTCCGATGGGGGTCTGTGCCAGGCTGTTTGCTTCTTGCTCTGGACTGCAGGCCAGGCTGATGCCACCTGAGTTGGGACAGATGCTCTGTCTGTGCCCTGACTAGGAACTGTGGCCACTTCTCCTCCCATAAGGAACCTGGGGTGTGCTGCCCTGGGCTTCGCCCCTGCTGGGACACCCCTTCTGCGGACTTCAGAGGGTCTCAGTCCTCACCCCTTTCCAAGGGCTGTGGTCATGGGGTGGTGGCCAGCTCCCAGCTTTATGAGCAGGACATGGGACCACAGGGTGGGTCTGTTCTCCACGACTCATAAAGCCATCAGCAGAGCGTCTCCTCGGGTCCTTCATGAAATGCTATTAAACCTGTTGGCGCTCAGCACATACCAGAAATTCTCTGGGGGGAAAAAAAAAGACAAATTCCAAATTTAACATTTTAAAAGTAGGAAGTGGTGTTTTATGTGGACTTGTCTTTCCAGATGGTTCATTTATTTTCATTGATAAAGATCAGCACAAGTCAAAACCACAGAACTGTCTGGAAGCAATTGAGAAAAATAGGGACACCTTGGAAATGGCCGGCTCTGTCAGTGTGACACGATAGAACGAAAGTCCAGTGAGCAGACCCATTCTCTCAGATGTTGTGGCTGCAGCTTACTCTGAGTTGGGAGTACCCATGATGACTGCTGTCCCCCTAAAGAGAAAGGACAGGGCGGCCTGCCTGTGGTGTGTGCCGGGCCGTGCGTGGGTGTCTGGTGGAGGGCAGACGCTCAGAACGCCTCTGGCATTGCTGTGGCCCCTTTGCCTAATGAGGTTTCCACTAAACCACTAGCCCTGTGTTCCCAGATACTCTTAAGGACCAGTTTTAAACTGTATTTCTTCCTTTTACCCCCAAAGTCACTGTTTGAAACCTGATAGTGATCTGTACCCCTCCCTCCCAGAGGCCCTCAGGGGGCAGTGGGGCCCAGGTCTTGTGCAGGCACTGCACAGCCCGAGTTTATTAGCTGCCCTGGTGGGCAACCCCCGAATCCCTCATGAGACCCAGCTGGGCTTTGGGGAGATGGGTTGGGGGCTCTGGGTCTCATGGTTTCCTATGCTGGTTGGCAACTGTGGCCTAGTGGTTTCTTAAGTACCTACAATTGTTCAAAGTTCCTGGGGAGGTGGGACTGTTTACACTTCCCTGGGAGTTGTCCAAACCCTTCTAAAGAGAATTCAGACTGTTCTATGAGAGATGATTGTCTGGTGTATGTGTGTGAATATGTTTTCATTCATTGGGAGGTAAATGCATATTTCAGAAGAGAGTACTTCAGACATTTGTGGGGCTCTTAACCACCCACACACAGATGATAAATAGTTATCGGAATCCTAGACATCAGATGGGAAAGAACCCTCAAGATCATCTGGCCCGCGGACATTGGCTTCGAGATGAGCAAGCCGAGGCCCAGGAAGAGGGGAGAGGCTTGTGCAGGTTCTCGTGGTTAGTGGGGGCCCAGTGGGGCCAGACCCGCAGCCTCCTGGTTCCCACGCCTTCCATTCTATCTCCTGCCTCTGTGATTAGAGTCCCATGCTTAACTGTGTACAAAGGAGCCCAACAACATGAAAGCCTGCACATTCATAGTAAGATACAATTTCATTATGTCATAAATTTGGCCAATCTGAAATACAATCATCACAATAAACACGAACATGTTCATGAAGCCTACGGCGCACTGCCATCGAGTTTAGATGTGCTGACTGCCGGGGGATGATTTTTGGATGGCTCATGCTCGTCTAAAAAAAACCCCAAGAAGCAAGGACACGAGCCCTTGTCCAAGGGGACGAGAGCAAATATTTCTTCTCCCCTCCATCTGTGCCTTATACAAGGCGAAGCCTTAAAAGTCGCCCTGTTCATCATTTTCTTCAAAAGAAACCACGGGGGCATTTAAATATCCTGAGTCTGAAAGCCCCCTGCCCCTTCCTCGCCAGCCTGCCCCCCACGACTTCCCGTCGTGATGAGCTTGTGTTACTGTTGTTGATGAGAAGTCTTCTCTTGCTCTGGTGGGTTCTGATTTCTTACTTAGTAGCTTCTCAGCTTCTTACATTCTTTCAGGCTTTGAACACGCACTGGGAAAGTGAGAACATACTAGAAAAGGACAGTTTGAAGGAGGACGAGGTAGGGAGGGGAGGATCAGGGGAAGAGAAAGCAGAGAGGGGAGTGGCCCGCAGGGCAGGAGCTGCGGCCCTGGAGGAGGAGAGCTCAGCATGCCAGCTGCTTGGGTCTGGGCCTGCCCACCTCTCTCCCCTGCTCCCGTGGCTTCCGCCAGTCCTCATCCCGTGTCCTCAGCGGCCCCTCGCTGTGGTCTCCCTCCCGGCACCAAGGCTCTGAGCATCACCCTGCGGAGAGCCACTGGGTTTCGTGTCCCCGCCTCGACTCTCAAGCCGGTTTCAGCTGCAGGACTCCCCCTTCAACGTCGTGCCCGCATCAGCCTCACCAGGTCCGCCGTGGCCCTCAGCCCTCCTTCCCCTCCTCGGCCCTCGTGCTGGGATTTGCCTCCTGACCCTGGCTCCAGGGCACCTTCCTCCCCGCCAAGCGGGGCTGCTGAGTTCTGGTCCCATCCTGCTCCTTCCCCTGTCCTGCCTGGAGAGCCCAACATTGTCCGGCTACTGTGTCGCCTACTGCTGCCCCTTTCCTCTTTCTAAAGAGGCTGCCTTTTGCTGCTGGACTGATGCCTGGCCCTGGAACTCTAATTAAAAGCCAGAGCTACCTGGCTGCACCTGCTCTTCTTCCCCGGTGCTCTTTTCCACTGTGTGGCCTCCTCCACCACCCACCGCCCACCGCCCCCAGGCCTCTGCTGGCTGTTCTGGTCCTCTGGGGCTCCTTCTCCAGGCCTGACTTAGCCTCTCTCCTTGGTCTTCAGACCTGCAGAGGGAGGCTCAGCCTCTCTTCTCCTCACTCACAGGCATGTCCTCTGTCCCTGTATAATTTTAACTCCTACAGCATCTGTGTGCTACCTGGAAGCACATTGTGTTTCATTCCCACAGCTCCTTCTAGAACACAAACATCTTCAAAAAGGCACTTTGTCATACACCTTTGTGTCCCTGCAGCACTGAACCTCATGCTTGCCCCGTGGTAGCCATCTGAGGAATCTGATTGAGCAGATGAATGGGTGAGGAATGAATGACAGGCTTTGACACTGGGCAGTCCCCTCTCCACGCCTTAGTTTTTCCATCTGTCAGGTGCGGGAGCTGGCTTACATGGCCTTTCATGGTCCAGTTAAACCTATGTCACATCCAGGTTTGATACTAACTAAAAGCTTAGAAATACCTCTGAGTTTGATTACCATGGGTCATGTACAGAGAGCATCATTCGGAATGGTGTATATGCACCACTGAGGTATCTTCCCGGCTCACAGACTTATTTCTCTCTCTCCTAGGTTTACAAGTTGTCCTGAACTCCATTATAAAAGCCATGGTTCCCCTCCTTCACATAGCCCTTTTGGTATTATTTGTAATCATAATCTATGCTATTATAGGATTGGAACTTTTTATTGGAAAAATGCACAAAACATGTTTTTTTGCTGACTCAGGTGAGTAATGAAAATGGAAGCTGACCCGTTTAAAAGATTTGATTTTCTTATAACAACTTTTGTGATTTGGGGAATATCTAAAATAAAATAAGAGAGAAAAAAGATCCCCAACTATACCAGTAATTTAGTGAGCCAGTTCTTAGTGTGCATTACGTTCAGAATAAATGAGAATTTGGTCTCCTTCTCCATCCTCATCTCCTATGTAATGTGTCCCAGCGAATGACGCAGGACCCCCAAAACTAGAGCAGGAGGCCAGTCACAGCCTTGCTCTGCAAGGGCTTCGGGAAGGTGCTGTAAAGAGGGGGCCCTGGAGGGAGCGAGGGTCCAGAGCGCGGAGGGCAGATTCGGGGGCAGAGGACGTGGTGGACGGGCCCCTTGGGGGACCAGGAGGCTTCCCAGACCCGGGAGACGGGAGGCAGGGGGTGGCGGGCTCGTCCCGGCTGTGAGCGGTGGGTGACAGCCCCGCGCCCCATTGCAGATATCGTAGCCGAGGAGGACCCAGCGCCGTGCGCGTTCTCAGGGAACGGCCGCCAGTGCGCCGCCAACGGCACGGAGTGTCGGGGCGGCTGGGTGGGCCCCAACGGGGGCATCTCCAACTTCGACAACTTCGCCTTCGCCATGCTCACCGTGTTCCAGTGCATCACCATGGAGGGCTGGACGGACGTGCTCTACTGGGTGAGCCGCCGGGGGGCGGGGGCTGCCCGCGGGGAGGGAGGTTCGGAAGCTAGAACCACGGCAGGGCCAGCCGGGAAGGGAAGCACACCCTCGCCTCGCCCAGTGCAACAAGGCACCCGCCCGCCTTCCCCTTCTAGAAAGCCCCGTGTAGTGGTGGCCCCGGCTTCTGCCATCTGTGCCGCTGGGGAACTGTTGCCGAGTGTGCCCTATGGCCCTTTATTTGCATGCAGGAAGTCCAGAAGGCCAGGGCCATCCTAGTTAAACTCTCAGAGAGCCAGGGGTCACTGTCCAGGTTAAGGGGCTCCTGGACTTCCCTGAGCTAAAACTGATCTTTTATGCACAAAGGCAGCTCTTCTACTAGATCCTGAACAGAAGCTAGGGAGAGTAAATTGTCTCCCTTTTCACACTTCCCGTAAGCCAGTACAGCTTTAGAGCCAAATGGCTGTTTCCCCATTACATTATTTCCCTTTTGCATCTTCAGTATTGCTGTGTATCAGCCCAGCACCAGCCCTCAGCTCTCTGCCTTTCTCTTTCGAGCAGAAGAACTCTGGCAGAGAGGGTAGACATGGCACATCAGACATCCAGGCCCAGTGGGCGCCCAGCCTGCCGTGCAGACAGATGGGCACCACTTCTATGGCTACGGCCTGGTTCTTCTCATTTCTGACAGAGCCGGAAGGGTTGGCTGTAAATGAAGAGCCAGTAGTATTTTAACAGCCCTTTCCCAGAGCTGAGTTTATGTGCTTATTTGTTCAGTAGAATTTTGAAAGAAAAAAAAGCTCACAGAATTTTAGAAATAATTTTCCATGGCACAGAGTTATTGGGAAAAACAGCTGACATGCAGATCTAGAGCCTACACCCAAGTCCACATGGGTTATCCAGGATTCTGATAATGATTCTTTAGCAGGCAGTTTGTGGTAAAGGACTTCTGGAATGGGCACTTTCTGTTAGAAGGCCCGCAGATTGCAAAGTCGCTTCAGACATACTTAAATTTTAGACAAGTTATAGGATTTCCTATTACTCTCTAACCTTAGAGAACATAGCACATTACGGTTATAAATAGGTTTTTGCTTCCCTTCACCAGTGAACACAATGATTACAAGATTGTAGAAGTCCCTATATATTCAATGCTGGTACAGAA